TTTTGTAAAAATGTATTTAGCTTCCACATTTACAGAAACAAACTGTAGGAATTTTGGGGTCAAAATTTGTTATTTTTTTCTTCTCAAAGAAAAGCCTTTCTAAAATGGCGATATGCTAAGTCACATCTATGGAAAGGCATAATAAAGAAAGAGGAAGCCCGAGAAGAGCAGCCCAAACTGAGCTGTGCCTGGAACATCTGACCTCTGATTTAGATTTCCCGATGACCCTGGAGCCTCCGAAGCATCCAGCTCCTCAGCCATGCCGGCCAATGTTTAAGTTTTGTCTGTGCCGAGGGCTTTGCTCAACTCGAGCTTTCGGAAGTTAGCGCCGCTGGGGAAATCACTGAACTCCCCATCCTCAGCAGCTTTTGGTGATTATTTTTACTTTGGTACAGGTGTGGCAGCTGACTTGTTGACTGCAGGAATTAAGCCTGCAGCTGAACCAACTCTTAGTTAGGATATGCCTAGATTATGGGAATGTCAACAGGATTTGCATGGATTAATCATAGACTGCAAATTTCCTTATCTCAATCAGCATTTAACTGGCTTTGGAGAACACAAAGCAGTCTCATTAGGTAATGTCAGGGAACACTATTTGGACACTGAATGTTATTTAGTAGTGTTTGTGATAGGAACCATTCTCCCATTGAGAATAAAAGTAATTGTCTTTGATTTAAAATCGAAGTTCCCAGTGCTCCGTAGCAGGAGGATGAGAAACTGGTCTTTTTTTAGCAATGGTCTTTCGAGAGAAATTCTCATTAAGAGAAAATACGAGTCATTACTGAGTTCCAAATGTTTAATTTATGCCCCAGCTTGGCCTAGTGATTGTCAAATAAATGTTATTTATCTGTTCAGAACGACGGCCACAAGTTGCAGGGCTGTCTGAACTTAAGACAAGGGAGAGAAAAAATGCCTTTCTGCATAGAGCCATTCATGGGGAGACGTAAGTATTAGCAAGTATTTTATATATCGGCTAACTTGCTTTGATATTTATGGGACCCTGAGAAGGGCAAAACCTGAACTCCTCACTCAAAAAACTTTAAAAAAACCCAAACCCAACCACTTCAGTAAATGAAAGTTCTACAGGAGAACTGTGGAGTAGCGAGAACACGTCCAACACCGCTTGACGGCACACTACATCTTCCAAACCAAGAGAAAAATCGCGTAGCAAGTTGCGTAACTACGAGTTCATATTTTTTATGACAGCGTAGTCATCCGGAGACTACGAATCTAAAAAGGCCCTAGCAAAAGGCAGAGAGACATAAAGCAAAAACATGAGGAAAGACATGAAGGTTTCACCAGATTTCATACAGTCCTATTCAGTAGTAGCTCAATACAAAAAATAAAGTGATATGCCAAATGAATGCTTGTTGTTGAATACATAATGAAAACGGGTTATTCAAATTTCAGTTCCAATTTTGCCTGAGTAAGGAGAGCAGGCTTGGGTCCATACTCCCTTGGTGAGAGTCCTATAAAAATAAACAATATCCATTACAGCTACTGCTGAAAACTGCAGGAAATATATTCAAAAACTTCTTAGTAAGATAGCGAGAAAATAGCAGTCATTAGTAAAAGCAGAAAGAGATCACATCATTTAAAATACGGTTATTTCTTCTGTGTAAACAGACCTTGGTAGAACCCTTTGAAACTTAAGAGAGAAACCAGCAATAAGCCTGCACACTTTCTCTCCCTCATAGAACATACACGCGTGCTTTTATTCATCTGCCAACACACAGGGTGTATTTTGCACGTATTTTTAACAGCAAAGGGGAACGATTCCCAAAAATGTAAAATATTTGCAGATGAAACAGTTATGCTGAAGTTGAATTACGCTTCAGTGGTGACCTCCTATTTGCTGCGAAGAAGGAAACCTTTCACGCTAACCCATCGCTTGCCCAAAGCCACTCTCTTAGGGCTGACGGTAGGGCAGGACAGACACACACAAAGGCTCCGAACAGCTGGGCACGATGGTAGAATCTTATCAGTCTGTTTTTCAATATAGTATAAAAATATTTTAAGAGGCAAAGCCTGTATCTTGGGACTTGAACCTCTCACGTGGCACTTCTGTAACAAAAAGTTAAAGCACGCTTCGTGTTTGGGGTACTAGGAATATCCCCGGCATAGCCTTCCGGTGACCCTCACGTGGCTGCTGCTACCACTGATCCTCTGTCACTGCAATTCTACCTTCCCCCCAAAGAATCGTTGAATCATTCAGGCTGGAAAAGCCCTTTAAGATCATCAAGCCCAACCACTCCTCTACCCCTGCCACTCTACCACTAAACCCTGTCCCTCAGCACCTCGTCTGCCCGGCTGTTAAATCCCCCTAGGGGTGGGGACTCGACCCCTTCCCTGGGCAGCCCCTTCCAGTGCTTGACAGCCCTTTTGGGGAAGAAATTTTTCCCGACGTCCAACCTAAACCTGCCCTGGTGCAACCTGAGGCCGTTTCCCCTCGTCCCATCGCCCGTTCCTTGGGAGCAGAGACCAACACCCACCTCACTACAACCTCCTTTCAATAGACTATTTACCTACTTAACTACATCTCTGCTCAGACCCTACCAGCGATTTCTGCTTTTCGAGGAGACTCCTACTTCCCAGTGAAGGGTGTGGAAGCGGGATATTTGCCTTCTCTCTACCGGCAGCAGCAACAGAAGCTGGCTGGGACATCACAGCTGACCATCACGAACGTCTCAAGAGTCAAGATTGAAACCCATCACGAGCAGGAGCAGTGTGAGTTGCTGTGTGGGATCACCGAAGCCAAATGAACGCAAGACTGTAGAGTGGGTTGAGGGTGAAGAAAAGTTTTTGTGGCCAACTCTCAGCTGGGACATCTTGTGACAGAGCCCTGGGCTGCGAAGGGAGTCAGCGGGGAAACCGCAGCACGGAAAGGCTGCAGAATCGTAGTTTTTACTGCTGAGCATTTAGCGGGGCATATCTTGGTCTACAGTGGCTCAACCGAAGCGATAGCATTTCACTGTGCCATGTGCTTGCTCTTACGTCTGACGATATTAATACTATTAGCTCTTAAAATACGGAGGTTTTAAAAATTAATAGGCTGTTATAAGGTTACTATTTGGTTACTATTTTCATTTACTAAGGACAGCTGCATTGGCCAATGTTACATCTACTTTTGTTTGTTTGTTTGTTTTGTTTTCGTATGTCCCCAGGTGAAAAAAAAATAAAAAAACTTGCTTGAAAGAACTGCAGAACGTTTCACTGCGAATGGCATATAGCAACTGCAGGCTTAAAATTCACCAGGTCGTACTTTAAAGTCTCGCAGCTTCTCACAGTACGTTAACAAAACTAAACGCGATTGTTTTGGTTTCTAAGTGTGAACGTTTCACAGGAGGGGGGAAAAAAAAAAAATGAAAAAAAAAAAAAATCTGTCGATAAAGATCCTCACCATCATCTGAACACTCGAACTGGACTTCCTTTTCTGAATTGACCAGTCAGAGAGAAAGGAAAAGAAGAAAACGTGACTGGTTGGATTTGAAGTATCAAGGCATGGAGTACAGTATATTTCTGTTTTGGCTTTTTCTTTTTTTTTTTTTTTCTTAAAAGAAAAAGACAGCTTAAGCTGTAGGAAGGGGTGGAAAAATTCTATGGAGCATATAGTATCTCAGTAACAGAAACGACAAAAATAAGACTTTCCCAGATGTCAATTTACTCCCTTTGCTCCACATGACCATGCAGACAAACAGCAGACACATAAACCGTGCTGAAAACCCAAGTATCAGATTCCAGCAAGCGTAATTTAGGCAAAATTTTGGCAACAGTTGTTTCCAGTATGATAATCAAAACTGAGATATAACAAATACCATCGTAGACCTGTAGGAGGAATGATATATTTAAGAAGGAAAAGCCGGTCAGAGAGAATACAGAAAATTTATATATTCCACAATGAAACATATTAAAGGTTTTCCACAGGAATGATGGAATAGTACGGAACGTGTGCTTCTCCACATAACTAGGATGTCTACTGCTTGGCAGTGAGAAGCACTCAAATCGTAGCGTACTCACTTCATTTTAAGTCAGTCTGGTGATTTTTTTTGATGGGAAAAGTGTGGGAGAACAGGAAGAAATATACTCTGAATCTGGTATTTAAGTATAGGATGTTTTGTTAAAAAGTTAAGATTAAATAGAAAATTAAAATTCAGGTCAAAGACACACTTCTGAGTAAACACACAGAGCACAGAAGAATATCTTTTGAATCATGTAATGAAAGCTTGAGGCACTTATTTTAGTCTTCAGGAGTCCTCCAAGAAAAGGAATAAAATATTTTTCATTGCTGAGTGATATATATATATATATATTTTTTTTTTTTTCCTGGCTATTTTTCAAAGTATTTATCCAGAACGTTCATTTGTGAAGCATCTCTCCTCCTGCAGGATCTGGTGACGTGAGAATAGGAGCTCTAAATCATGTAAGGAAAGCTGCCAAAATGTTCCCTTCTTAGCAAGGTCTATTAGTCAGGATGAGCTGATTTGTTGAGATAGTAAACCCCTCAAGTTCTGCCAAACATAGCAAGTACATCTGGCAGAAGTCACTGCATGTGGAGCCAAGCCTAGCAGTAAACTTTTGGTCTTCCGTGAAATCTAATGGAAAGTCAAGGGGAAACACGGATGCAATAGAGCTACAGATAAACACCGATACCTAAAAAACTAACGTGCCCACCACCAAACCACGATTTATATTTAGAGGCTAAGTAATAACATTGAGACATTAACTACACAATCATCCCTCATTAAAATAGCAAGAAAAGCATTTTCTCCAGTAGTTTTCTATCTTCCACTTATTAAAATGCTTGTTTTCCAAATACTTCTTTTATTGCATTTTTTAAGCTTCACCTACTGACTTTAAACACTTCAAATATACGGTAAGGAGCAGCAATTAACAAATTCTAGAAAGGAAAGAGGTAGCAATAATCAATTCTAAAAAACTGGCAGCAGTGACAGAGAGGCGGTGACTAATAAAATAAAGTTTAAAGCACGTGTTTAACCTACCTTAACTCCATCCGGCTTTTTCAGTAAACTCTTGGCTGCTGTAAAAGGAGACAAATAATTTCAGAGTCAGGTGGTTACCAGCGAGGCCAGCCAGCTGCGCCGCAAACCCCCATCGCCTCCCAGCTGCAGGGAGTTTTCAGCTTTGATTTCCTCCTTTTGCTGCTCTGAGTATAGGAAACCAAGTATTTACGGAACTACGAACACTTCGGATTCTCATACATCTCTTTTTCCATCGATTCGAGGTGTAAGGTTAACTGTACTCATACAAGGAGAGAACTCCCCGGGTGGCATAGAGGCTTCGGATACGTTCAGTTTTGCAACCGCAATAAGTTTACAATTGGTGGTGGTGGGGGGGTGTGGTTTGATACGACCGAGAAAAAAGTCCTGTTCTGATGGCAAGGACTTTGATCGGGTGTTTGTAAAGCCCGCTGGCATCTTAATGATGTTATTAACACGGCGGCGACTTAAAAGTAACCAATATCAGATCAATAAGGTACCCGGAGAGCATAGCGGGGTACAATGCGAGCGATTCCACCTAAGGAAAAGTTAAGGGGGTTTTAAGAAAGCACCTCTGAGCAATGGTCCTTTGGGGATTTCCCACCGTGACAGCATCAGTCACCTTGCGTGAAAGGTCAGGAAAGTTGCAAACCAGAAAGGAAGCACAGCCCGCCAGCGAAGCGTCGTTTCGGGGGAGTGCTCCCCAGGAGGTAATCGTGACCAACGGGAAGCTTTGCTTCAACTTCTGGCGAAGAAAACCTGGTATTTTCTCATCTAATTTCTTCAAGGCAGTGGGGACTGCTGGGCAAAGTTTCCCTTGCCGTAATGTTATCACAGAATCCCAGAATGGCAAGGGTTGGAAGGGACCTCAGGAGATCATCATGCTCAAGCAGGCTCACCCAGAGCAGGGGGCACAGGACATCATCCAGATGGGCTTTGAGTATCTCCAGAGAAGGAGACTCCACAGCCCCCCTGGGCAGCCTGGGCCAGGGCTCGGTCACCCTCAAAGTGTGTTATCTGTGTGTTAGGGCTTTCAATTCCACCCCTTAAAACTGGCATGGAGAACCGGGCCAAATCGTTCCGTGGTGCTACATGGGGAGGGCCAATGTGCAAACAAGCACATGGCAGCTCTCAGCCTGAACACGTCCCCAGCAGAACTACATGCTGGGTGACCTACCACATCCAAATAAACTACTCGCTAAAGCGTAAATGCTCCATGACTCACCGCCAAAGACTTGAAGAATAATAAATGACAAAACAAGCCCGGCGGTTTTTGTTTGTGTTGTTGTTTATGACCCAATCTTCCTATCAAGAAGCGTGGCATGGCTTAGGTTGTAAAAAGTGCTGCTCTATATGTGCTGTTTTGCTTAGACGTGGGAAGCCTTTTTGGGAGCTAACAATCTGGCATCATCGAAGGGAGACAGTCCTGACACGGAGCCCCCATCATTACTGGCATCCTTCTCTTTAAACAAAAAAAACCCCAAATATTGGACCTTGCAAGCTTAAGGTTGCTCAAACTAGCTGAGGCTATTGGGAGTTCCTGAGTATGTGGTTTAAACTTGAAGCCAACTTTTGTATTTGTGGCTTATTCTCTGGCTCCATCTGCATTAAGCGCTCATTTAGCTCTGGTTCAGGGTACAGAAAATGTAAGACCACATTGGAAACGGTACAGAACCAACTGATGTCTGCGGGCTGTGGGGGAGACCTGATTGCGGGGAGACCTGATTGCGGCCTTTCAGTACCTAAAGGGGGCCTATAGGAAAGACGGGGAAAATCTTTTTAGTAGGGCCAGCAGTGACAAGACAAGGGGTAATGGTTTTAAACTAAACCAGGGTAGGTTTAGACTAGATATAAGGAAGAAGTTCTTTACAATGAGGGTGGTGAAACACTGGAACAGGTTGCCCAGAGAGGTGGTGGAGGCCCCATCCCTGGAAACATTCAAGGCCAGGTTGGACGGGGCTCTGAGCAACCTGATCTGGTTAGCGGTGTCCCTGCTCCTGCAGGGGGGTTGGACTAGATGACCTCTAGGGGTCCCTTCCAACCCAAAACATTCTATGATTCTATGTCCATTATTGTGTTGTTTACCTTAAAAAAACTGGTAAGTAAAGCCAGGTTAATATTTGTAATTTCATTAATATATCAGGCCTCCAAATGCCGTTTATTAATTACGGACGTCAGCCGACACTACCACTAGAACTCTCACATGGCCCACGCTTTACAACTAAAATGAGCAAAAATAAATTTGCCTGTATTACGCAAGGGGAGCACTGCACGTTTTTATTTACAGAAACGTGCAAGTTAATACTGAAAATGAATTGTTTTCCATATATTTTTGAGATCGGATACTTCCTGTGGCAGTGTGCGCTTGCAGGACCTGAGGCAACACCGGCCTTAGATCTTACACTACCACAAATATCGTGGGCACTCCATGACCTTCAGAAATTCATTTAGGGCAAGCGAAGGGGAGGAGCTATTTCTAAAAAAACCTAAGGCCAAAAAAACCCAGAAGTTCATCGCTTTTGAAGCCTGTTTTACGCCGTTAGCCCTTACAAAAAATATGGGAAAACATAAATTAAATCTTAGAGGCTGCCGTTGATAACAATCTAGGTCCCTTTGCTCGATTTGAGCTTAAAACTTTTGAGTTCTTTTAATGCTTAACAAAGCTTACATGTTATATGTAAACAATTAAATGAAAGCCAGTAAAGTGAGGGCACCAAAAGCAGTAACTATGAGTACTGTGTTCATGGCACTGCCAGCATATCCTTTGAAACATGCCTAGCATGGATTATTATCCAGTATTTTATCTTACAGGACATAGTCCATACTCAACTGCCTTGGTTGGTTTCAGCTTGGAATGTATTTTTAATAATAATCTGACGCATCTTTCTTTAAGCACAGATACTGCATACAAATCAAATATTCCAAGAATTTGCAGTAGCAAAGCAATTAGCATATTCTACATGAAGCCCACAAGGAAAGATTTCTTGCAACTACAAGCGATAGCGATAAATAAAACCTAAGGCAGCGCTAATAGGCCGGAAAGCAGACTGAAAAGAAACGGTGTTGTGACAACATGGAGAAATTAAAGTGATTGAGGACAAACAGCAATTTTGATATAGAAGAGAAAAAAAGATGTTCCTTTCACGTGCTGAGGGTCTTACCTCACAAGAAATACACATTCCACATAAAAGGAAGAAAGAAAAAGGAAAATAAAACACTTTTATAACCACATTGTTATGGACAAATGACTTTCCAAAGCATGCTTTGCAATGCAATACAATGAGTAAAACAACTTGGAAAAACTAAAATGTCATCAAGGACAAATATGGGTCATGATGGTGTAAAACCAGAGATGATAGGTGAAAAAAATCCAAAACAAAGCCAAAAACCCCTGTTTGCTTTTCATGCCAAAATACTATTTTAAAATTACTTGGGCTTTTTTCGGTTCACGGAAGTTGAAACTGACCCTTACATACATAGGCAGCAACAGTTACGAGAAGTGATGAGAAACTATGTATTTTTTTGGTATTTTGTAATAATTCATTTTTACAAGATAGGCAGCCTACAGCACTCCCACCTTTAAAATGGATTGGCAGATACCGGCGATTCATTAAGCATTAACCCAATGTACTGTACATAAGTGCAGCCTTCTGTGTTATAGGTGTGTATTAAATACAGGAACTTAGCTAAGAAAGAAATTGTATTTCAAGTACTATGCAAATTGAACAAGTTGTTCTCACATTTATGATTACGTAATTTATTTTGGATGATTCGGTGCTTATTATTATTCAAAACATGCCCAAAGCACTATCATGTTTTTGCCTGTAAGATAATTTATGTTGCACTCCAACAGTTACGTCACAGAGTAGGAGGACATGTAAAAGTGCTGATTTTTAAATCTGGCATTCTTTTTCCCCGTTCACGCGAAATCTCAAACGACAAAACGGAAAATTCAGCATAGCATCAAAATTCTGGCGATACTACTGTTGAGGACAATTCTAACTCTACTAACAGCAAACTTACTTAGTTTTTGTTATTAAAATTTTTTTGTATAAAGATCTAAATCTCCAGAGATATCGCTACAAAATTATTTCATAAAGAGGAAACATCTCTTGTTATATCAAGCTAGGCATTAGAAGAGGAGGAAAAGGAGGACTCATTTTACTATGTTTCTTACTCCTTAGCAAAGCAATAAAGAATGAATTTTAATTTTTTTTTTTTTGGCAACAGAATCCTGGAATGACATTTCAGGTATATAAAAATAAGCAAATTTTTAAATGTTGTTTGGTGCTACTTATGGCATGTGGAGCTATACACGTTATTTTCAATTGTCCTCCACCAAAATAGACGGGAAAACACTGCCTTTTGACAGGTAACACTGAAGAAGCAAAGAGAAGGAACTCACATTCTATCAAAAAATTAGACTGTCATCTACAAAAGATTCTATTTGGCCCAAATAGTTTAAATTCTCTTGTTTGCTTCTGCAAAGGCAATGACTCAAGATACATCATATTTAGATGCTCCTGAATAACAAAGCTCTTTCTCTACTAATGCATCCTATTTAGATCTTCAGTCATCACAGACATCAAAACATAAAGATCACATTAATCTGGAGCTCAATGAACATACCTGAGAAATTTCTGGTAGCCAGCATAGTTGTCAAAATGGCCCCCTGTATACACATACATTTTCTCAAATTAGCATCACACTTGTGTAAAATTCTGAATGTGAACACGACACAACAAAAAGGAAAACACACGCATAAATCACATCAATTACTAAGTTAACCCTGAGAGAATGGATTGGCTGTGCATTACCTATCATACGCGATACCATGAATGCATAAATTGTAATTTAATCTTAATTACATGCCTATCGGCAATCCTGATAAGCTCAAACATTTACCAATTGTGAGTACGTAACGCACAAACCGTGAGTACGCACAAGCACAGGAATTATCAGCAAAATGCATAGCTGAATATGAAAAAGACTTTACAACTGTGCTTAGATTCTTTTTTTAGGTAGGAAGAGGAGTTTATTTTTCATGTCCCAAGTAGAAAAATTCACATCTGCAAAGTTATCCTGTCTGGCCAGGAGAAAACGAAGGATAATCTAAAAGAATAACCGTAAGGATTTTCCTTTGATGAAATATTTTTAATCTGTATAAATGAAGATGATTGCTATTATTTTGAATCCAACAAAATTATGCTACGTTCTATGCACGTTCATGAAAAGTTTAAGATCCTCATGCCAAAAGCCGATCATCTGTCAAACAGATCATTTAAGCATAATATTTAAGAAAAAAATTTGCTTAGGGACCATTTGTTTTACACATGGAACAGAAGCCAACATTCTTTTATCGTTCCAAAACTAGCTACCCATCCTTGCAGAAGTTTTCCTTCTTACCTTTAGTTTTCTTCTTGCATTGAATTTCTTCAAGCAGTCTACAGTCTCTTGTCTGTGCATCATCGAGGCAACGGTAGAACGTTGCTAAAAGAAGAAAAGAATCATTTTAATGCACCCAGCCAGACGCTTAGCATTTTATTTACTCTACAACATACATATTCCAACCCACATGGTCCAACATTTAGGCCTTTAGTTTCTACCCTGTCTGACTATCCCTTCGTGCAGGTTTCTACACATCTGGGAAACTTCCAAGTCAACAAAACCAAGGTCTCATTTTACTCAGCCTTTTCCATGTGTCAAATCCTCTGGAAAGAAACAGGGACTAAGAAAACCACAAATCTTAGGACTTGGGTTACGCAGTATGAACATAATCAAAGTAATATACTGAATTACGATTTTGGAAAATGTGTTATAAAACAAGAAGGAAACTTTTCTTTAGCATTAGTGATATTGGGTAAGGTAGAGCAGCAATTTCAGAGAAAATTCAGCAGTGCCTGAGTTTTCCCTGTAACTCAACTTCATTTGCATCACGATTTTAAAGGCAAGATAACGCAGCCTGCTGGAACGAATCAAGACTTTCCAAGGATCAGCCCAGACTACCTGCAAAGTCAAAGTGTAGAACGCACTGAAAATCGACCCAGACCCAGCAACAGACAGGCACCCTCTGCTACCTGCAAATTGACTTTTCCAAGTCCCTTAATTCCCTGCCTTTACATTTCGTGCTTATCATAATGGTTACAGGGAAATGAAGATGTAAAGCATTATTACTGAACTCAAAGTTACTTTCTTGTCCATTTTTTTTTCTCTGAGAATTTAAAATAATGCTTTAATTTTGGCAGTGAACTTCTGCACCGCAAGGTCAAGGCAAAGGAGTTCATTGCTGGGAAATTCTTATCCCAGGCTGAGACCTCAATATACGACCCTATTGACTGTATCTGTGTAATTAAATTTTACACTCCCCTAGTTACGTAGCTGCACGAATAAGAACAAAAGTTATCCTCTAAACACCTTCACTGTATGCTGAAGTAAACCATAAGCTGGTTAAGTCTCCCCAAACATCCTGTTAAATCTGTGGAAATTACTTACACAGATCCATGGATGCTTTAGCGCTTCTGATGCCGTGATCCGTTTTGCTGGGTTGATGGTAAGCATTTTATTGATAAGGTCTTTTGCTTCAGGAGTCACTGTATCCCATTCTGGTGAGGGAAACTTAAAATAAAAAAAATACGTATGTGGATATTATCTTGTACAACCTTTACACAATTTTACCTAAGGATTTTTATTGATACTATTTCTGTAATTAATTGCTAGCACAGCTAACCAGTTTTAAGGGGAAAAATGCAGTTTGCCACCCTTAGAAAACTTTGAATTAGCCAGTTTTATAAATAATGTTTTTCTCCTTTACTATTTTGACCTTTTATTTTTTTGATTCAAATGCACAGCATTTCTACATTTACAATAATATGATGCTGATCAAAATTCATAACATAAAATAACAATGGCAGACAGAATAACCGATTCCAGTCATCTGAGTCATACAGCACTTAAGAGTCACAGAAACATATAGGTTGGAAAAGCCCTTTAAGATCATCAAGCCCAACCGTTCCCCTACCCCTGCCATCCCACCCCCAAATCCTGTCCCTCAGCACCTCGTCTGCCCAGATTTTAAATCCCCCCGGGGATGGGGACTCGACCCCTTCCCTGGGCAGCCCCTTCCAGTGCTTGACAGCCCTTGCGGAAAAGTATTTTTTCCCAATGTCCACAGAGTCACAGACTGGCAAGGGTTGGAAGGGACCTCGGGAGATCATCTAGTCCAACCCTCCTGCTAAAGCAGGTCCAGCCTAAACCTCCCCTGGCGCAACTTCAGACCATTTTCCTCTCATCCTATCGCCCGTTACCAGGGAGAAGAGGCCTAGTTTCTCCTTCAATAAAGGCAAAAATATTAAGCATTATTATTCCAACTCCTTGTTTGCTTTCTTTCAATGTAAATCTTAATGCTAACTGTATAGTTATGGTATATAAATCTAACTAGTTATGAATTTAACACCCCTCTGCTCAGCAAAGTATTTATACATGCCCCGAAAGCATCTGTTCAGATGGGAATGAAAAACACCCCCATGTCTTAAACTGTTTTTGTGAACAGACCGTAACCTTGAGGATTTGGGGTTTTCTACTACTGAAAATATTTATTCTTAGGCAATAGGAATGTGCTATCACCTGGGCACAGCACGTCACAGCATGCGTTATGTACGCACAGTGCAGATGCACAGCTCAGTCTCTGCACCTCTGCGTTTCTCTCGGCTGAAATCCTAATTCCCCACTGTCACCCTGCTACCGTACGGTTACATGTTCACTAGGAAGAAGACTCGACAAACCCTAAGTTTATTTTCACTGAAAGGCCACAGCATAGAATCACTTCGGTTGGAAAAGCCCTTTAAGATCATCGAGTCCAACCGTTAACCTAACCCTGCCATCCCACCACTGAAGATGAGGTCCTTAAGCACCCCATCCATCCTTCTTTTAAATACCTCCAGGGATGGGGACTTGACCACCTCCCTGGGCAGCCCATTCCAGAGCCTGACAACCCTTTCGGTGAAGAAGTTTTTCCTAATGTCCAACCTAAACCTGCCCTGGCGCAGCTTCAAACCATTCCCCCTCGTCCCATCACCCGTTACCAGGGAGCAGAGGCCAACATCCCCCCAGCTCCCCCCTCCTCTCAGGCAGTTGTAGGGAGCGATGAGGGCTCCCCTCAGCCTCCTCTGCTCCAGGCTGAACGCCCCCAGCTCCCCCAGCCGCTCCCCAGCAGCCTGGGGCTCCAGACCCCTCCCCAGCTTTGTGGCTCTCCTCTGGACATGTTCCAGCAAGGCAAGGTCTTTCTTGGAGTGAGGGACCCAAAACTGAACACAGTATTTGAGGTGTGGCCTCACCAGCACCGAGTACAGGGGCATGGTCCCTGCCCTGCTCCTGCTGGCCACACCATCCCTGATACAAGCCAGGATGCTGTTGACCTTCTTGGCCACCTGGGCACCCTGCTGGCTCATATTCAGCCAGCTGTCAACCAGTACCCCCAGGTCTTTTTCCACCAGGCAGCTTTCCAGCCACTCTTTGCCAAGCCTGCAGCTTAACAACTCCCTTTTCCACCATCACCCTCCAGGACTAGATTCAAATAAGAGCTTAAAAATTGTAAGGTTTTCTGTCTTTTCCTCTTCATCATTCACAAATGACTTCGATCTGAGGACCAACCGCCTTCTGTCCGTTTAACGCAATATAAACGGACGATGTTGCGAAATTCATAACGTCACCAAATCATCAGTTCTTACTTACCAACAGTTTTTGTTGGAATACACGCGGTTAATGAAAAACTACTCCTTTTGAAAAGCTCTACAGCAGCTTGTATTTCCACAAGCGGGCAATACAACAGCATCAAAGTATATATTTAGGAAGCTTGAGGCATCTTAAAAACAATTTAGAGCAACCGATTGGTTGAAGTGAGAAACTCCAAGGAGAAATGCAGGCCCTTGGGAGCTCACAGGGGTCTGAAGAGGCTTGGCAGGATAACAGAAGCTTGCATGATTTATACAAGGAGCAGACAATGCAAGCTTGGAGCCATAAGGAAATCAGATTTAAATTAGCGCAGGATGCTCCCATCCCAATAGGGTTCATGTAACTAAAGCAACATTTACTGTATTGAGCGGCTCATGAAGATAACTGATTAAAAAAAAAATAATCAGGAAATAATTCTAATTTCACTTTTCACTCTAGAAAGCTCCTATTTAGAGGTACAATTATAAATAATTGAATAGACAGAGTCTGGTACATACATCATAAGCACCAGCCTTGATCTGCTGGTAAAGCCTGTGCTGGTCCTCATCCCAGAAAGGAGGATATCCCACCAGGAGGATATACAGAATGACACCTGCAGAAAATTCACAGTGGTGTTAAGTGATTTCAAGAAACAAACCCCAGAAATACATTTCAACCATGTAAAGCAAAGGGCTCAACAGCATTATCCCAGCTGCTGAAAGACAGTGCCTATTCATACCAGAGAAAATAGTAAATGTAGGGTGCACAGGCCAACCGCCCGTGCAGAGCGTGGGCAGTAATGAGCATCTGACACAACAGCCGATCAGGAACACCGACAACGTCCAGCCAGCAGGAGGAATCATGTTCAACGATCATGGATGTTCTAGGAGAATGCGTTTTTTTTACCTCTGGTTTTATCGCAGCTCGTACTGGTGTCTGTGAGACTGTGTTTTAACTCATCTCACGCAATGAAAATCTGGGCAACTCAGTTTATCTGTATAAATACACGATCAATAGGAGATGAAAAGTCCACCCGGTTGTCTTACAGAGATGATTCACCATCACTAAAGAAAAGCGCCTTCATAAATACAGCCAGATAAACGTGGGTAGAAGTAAAATAAGGAACCCACCGACCGTTCTCAGCTAGGTAGCTGCCACTTGCCACTTAAACTACAGTTTCAAGAACTGCGCGAGAAAGTTATTGCTCTGCACTCCAGTTCACAAGACATTTAGTTTCACAGCTTAAAACTGCAGTTTTAGTATATTGGTCAGGTCAGATTTTAGGCTGCTTGTGAACCCAAGCTAAGGCCCAGCTCACAGTATGAAGTATTATGTTTACTAACTAGTTAGGCATCACGCGCCAGCAGCTATTTTTGTAGCACTTAGTGGAAGTGGGTTGTGTAGACGTGGCCAAGAATGCCATGATAACACACCCTCACAAATAATTAAAAAAAAAACCCCAAACCCAAAGCTGGTAGAACAAGATGACCTCATCTAAAAATTAATATTTAATTTTACTAAATACTTATTATCTGATTGTATAGGGTTTGTGTGGCAAGGTTTTGGTAGCGGGGTGGGGCCAGAATATAATGTATTCTGGACGTCATCCCTCTCCCTCAAAATACTTTACAGTGGACTGAACGTTGTCTTTCAGAATAATTTCTTACCACATGCCCACATATCCACGGGTTTTCCATACGGATCTTTTCGTAGCACCTCTGGAGAAAGGTATCCCGGAGTACCAGCAAAGCCTGTCAAAAGGCAAGGCAACGATCCTCAAAAGCTGTACGTGCTCCGCAAAAATCAAGTGATTCTCATCTCAGCCCACGAGACACAGAATATCATTTCCCGAGCCATCGAGCACTAACCACTTCATTGTGAACTTTTCTTTTCATGGTGAATCACCTAGAAGTAACAATAATCCCAGAGTGACAAGGGTTGGAAGGGACCTCAGGAGATCATCCAGTCCAACCCTACTGCTCAAGCAGGTTCATCTAAAGCAGGTTGCACAGGACATCGTCCAGGCGGGGGTTGAATATCTCCAGAGAAGGAGACTCCACAACCCCCCTGGGCAGCCTGTGCCAGGGCTCGGTCACCCTCAAAGTAAAGAGGTTCTTCCTCACGTTCAACTGGAACCTGTTCTGCTTCAGTTTGTGCCCACTGCCCCTTGTCCTGGCGCTGGGCACCACTGAGAAGATCTGGCTCCATCCTCATGACACCCACCCTTGAGATATTTGTAACAGGAATGCTTATGCAGACTTGGCACATTCCCTTCTTGCCACCACGACCAGTGGAGTCGAGAGGAGAGCAAAAAACCAGCTGGTTACCCATCTAGACTGGCACTTCCAGATTCAACAGCGGCGCCATGGATCTGGTGACAGTGCAAGAGGGGAAGGTTTCCAGAAAGATTACAAGATAGCTGACGAAATTTCATTCATGACTTCTGCACTCAGCGAGACATCCAGCAGCAAGGCGCAAATACGTTTGGCTCAGGGTCAAGGTCAGAAAAGTTAGCGGAGGAGAAGGAGGAGTGTGGGAAACATTATTTGAGTGATCCCCTTGGAGATACAGAAAGACAGAAAATATACACTATGGACGCTGGAGACACTTATTGGGGTGGGTGTTTTTTACTCAGTAGCCTAATTTAGTCTATCTTAAAATAGCTCCGAAGTGTAAAAATTAATAAAAACTAAGAGTGTAAGTGTGACTTGCATGGGGTTTCTGTTAGCACACACAGAGTCCTTCCAATGACATTAAAGAGGAACTTAATTAACAAAACAGGGGCAGCAACTATAAGGAGTGTTTAAAGAGCCCTATTCAGTCTTACCAGAGGGGAGATTTCTGAGTAAACCAACACGTAGGGCTTGTTTTAAGAAAAACTTTGGTATGGAGAGATCCCTCATTCAGAAGGCAAAAAGAAAGTAAAAACCGTGCTCAAATTTTCTTCACGCAGAAGTGGAAACTCAATTCAGCCAATGCCAGACGGCGGCAAAGCAAAGGTTCAGCGACGGTCAGGACTGCTTTCGCAAGGGCACCACGGGCTGGTACCCAGCTTGCAGACCCCCACCCCAGCCTTCCTGCAGCCTTTGCTGTTCCTGTTTCACGTGGCTACGTGGAATTTGGCCTTTCCATGGTAAAACTCATTTCTGTGAAGTCATTCCACTTCTGGAAACCTCCTGACAAAAGTTCCCCAAAAAGCAGCTCTGAAGCAATCTCGCCTTTAAGATTCCGATGTTCTTCATTCCTTATTCACTACCAGCAGGGCTGCTTTCTCTCGGGAGAAATGCGAAATGTAGGCTATAAACATCGACTTCTTAGGCCGCTGTAATTGCTAAAAGCTTAATGACCGATAACATTCTGCACCCTTTCAGGACATCTGTTCTTTCGAGCACCTTTGCCTAAAATAAATGCCTGGGAATTCTTGAGAGGTCAGAATTTGGTGGCTTTCGTAAAGGACCGCATGTCATTTCTGAAATACCACACCGGACTCCACAAAACTTATGAGAGACGGTGATAACGTATGAAGTGTGCAGCTCCAGGGAAAAAAAAAAAAAAGAAGCCTTTGCCCTGCAGCTGGCAATCATTTTAGGGTGGGAGGAGGAAATGAGGGAACACATTCTGCATGTTCTACTGAGGATATAGCTACGATATTTTCATGACAAGTAAGCTTGTTTTCTGCAGTCTCCTGATACAAGAGCTATGAATTGTTAACCAGTACTATCAAACAGGAAACACGTCTTAAGCGCCTTCAAGAAGCTGAATAATATATATTCTAGAGTAGCTTTAAAAAGAGCAATGTTTCGTATCTCTTCTTGGCTGCAGTGCCTTACATTAATATTTTTGTCCATTTTAAAGGGGAAGTAAAGCTGTCTCTGTTTCAAACTTCCCGTAGCCCCATAAACATGACTACGCATCACTTGAAAATAAAACTTTAAAGCAAAAATACAGTACTTGGCTAACTTCATCTCTTGATGAAGATACAGAATGGGCCTAACCAGAAATAACTGGTATGGCTTTAGTACATATTCTTGGTTTTAGTACATATTCTGAAGTTTAAAGCAGCAAACACAGAACAGTATGCAGTCATGATTTCAGTGAAAAAGAACAAAATTCTTAACTTACTAAATTCTTAACTTACTAAATTCTTAACTTATTTATCAGGTAATTCTGTAACTGGTTGGAGGGATCCCAATACGAGCGTGTGCTTTTTGGGAAACTATTGCAAACAGTAGGAATTACTTTGGCTAAAACAACTTGCAAAGCTGGAACCTGTTTTGTGATGGTACCACCTTGCATTCCTACCGTTGTGTGATTTCTGTGAGCATCCAGAGGCTGAGATGAACGCCGTGCTTTGCTGAGCTCAGGGGTGCAGGGCTATACGAGACGGCACGTTACTCGGCTTAAATAGCTTACGGTTTCAAAACCCTCTTATGCAAAGATTATATCTATGCACTTAACTTCATAAATAGTGAGCGCTTCTCTTGAGTCAAACCTGGATTACAGAATCACAGAATGGCAAGGGTTGGAAGGGACCTCGAGAGATCATCCTGTCCAACCCCCCTGCTAAAGCAGGTTCTCCTAGAGCATGTTACACAGGCCTTCGTCCAGGCGGGCTTTGAATATCTCCAGAGAAGGAGACTCCACAGCCCCCCTGGGCAGCCTGGGCCAGGGCTCTGTCACCCTCAGAGTAAAGAAGTTTTTCCTCATATTCAACTGAAACCTCTTATGTCTCAGTTTGTACCCATGGCCCCTTGTCCTGTTGCTGGACACTGCTACAAAGAGTCTGGCTCTGTCCTTGTGACTTCCATGCTTAAGATATTTGTATGTATTATGAGGTCCCCTCTCAGTCTTTTCTTCTTCAGGCTGAACAAGTCCAGCTCCCTCAGCCTTTCCTGGTAGGGGAGATGCTCCAGTCCCTTTATCATCCTAGTTGCTTTCCTCTGGACTCTTTCTAGGAGTCACTCCTCTTTCTTGAACTGGGGAGCCCAGAGCTGGACACAGTGTTCCAGGTGGGGTCTCAGCAGGGCAGAGTAGAGGGGGAGGAGAACCTCCCTCACCCTGCTGGCCACGCTCCTCTTAATGCACCCTGGGATGGCATTGGCCTTCTTGGCAACAAGGGCACAAACCTGGATTGAAGGTTAACTGTAATCTCACAACGTCAACTTAAATTAACACAGGGAGATGTATCTTAAACACACAGCAGGAGAGATTTTGCTCTAAGATCTGCCCCGTGCCTTCATCACCTCCCTTGCCAGACACAGCCGCTCAGCACCACTCATGCAAGGATTCCAAAATAAAATGGCAGAATAAACCACGTCAGTTTAAACAGCATAAATTGTGTCTCTTTGCTAACACGCCTCCCTTTGATAACAATCCGAACGAGCAGTCTGGTGAGAAGATACGGAGAAGGTGGTGGCAAGGGGTGAGGGCGAGCAGCTGAGGGTAAATATGGGGCACAGCTGGATCCGAAAAACTCGCTGTGCACAACCTACATTTAACGCAACCCACAAACCAGTTCAAGCGAAGCTACTCAAATGACTTAAGTGGTCCATATTTTAGTCCTAGTTGCAGGGCTGGGCTTAATTTAAGATGAGATGCAACTAAGGACTAAATCTAGCTACCAGTGAGTTAACCGCTGGCTTCAGCGAGGGGCAACAAGTCCCCTGCCTGGCTGAGTCCGTGGGGCCCTCGACACTTTCCCGGCACATTAACCACCCTCTAACACTTTCTACAAACAGGCAAGGAACAGGTTTGTTTTACAAATATGCAAACCAGGAAAGCATCCTGCTGTATCGGAACACACAGAGCTCTAGCCTGCTTCCTGCT